ACAGGTCTTATAGCCTCAATAACAAAGGCAGGCAATTTATTTTTGTTGGCCAAGTCACCTTTTGGACACCAACTTCCACAGTTGTCATGCTCCCCCCTCCTATGATCAAAAATAGCCCAAATAGATTTTTTCATTTTATTCTTATCACCTACATTTTGTGATTCTGTTTCTATTGTATTTTGTCTACATAGAGGGCAACAGGCGTTCTGGCTTAGACCAATCGGTGTTGTTATAAATGAGTATGTTATTTCCCTAGCTTTAGGTGTGATGCTTTTAAGGTGAAGGTTCCGGAAGGTATCTTTTGCGTCTGTTATGGCAAATTTTGAGCACCATTTAATTCTGTTAAAAAGGGGGTTGAAAGTTTTTGCACTAATGTTTTATTGATACTTTGGGATTTGTCGTGTACAAGTTTTTCATTGTTTTTATGTGACTGTAGGCATTCTTTATAAAAGGCACTGAGTTCCTGTCCAAAGAAGTGGGGAGATTTGTTTAGTTTTGTTACGTTGTTTGTTTCTTTTAGTTCTGGCTCGCCTTAGTTTGCATGGGAATGCGCGGAGGGGGTGAGTGTTTTTTTTTTTTTTTTCCTTTTGCTAGATACCTTTACACTTCCGTCATGAACATATGGTATATATTCTTTCTACGAGGACGCCTCTTCTTATATATGCCTTGTACAGTGTGTGGAATCAACACAAAAGGTCCAATTCAATATAATACAGTTCTTTAGTTATACATTAGACTCCTACCATAGCTACGCCATAACACATGACCGTAGACTAACACTAACTACTACTAACACTTAACTTATCCCTATACACTCCCATGACCATCCCTAACACTATCTACATTATGACTCTTACATCTTTCTCCTATTTCTACTTACCTCTAACTGCTGACAGTATCACATGACTGGTCATCTCCTGTAATTCAGCTTAACTAGTCATCTGACAGTATCACATGATTGGTCATCTCCTGTAATTCAGCTTAACTAGTCATCTGACAGTATCACATGACTGGTCATCTCCTGTAATTCAGCTTAACTAGTCATCTGACAGTATCACATGACTGGTCATCTCCTGTAATTCTGCTTAACTAGTCATCTGACAGTATCACATGATTGGTCATCTCCTGTAATTCAGCTTAACTAGTCATCTGACAGTATCACATGACTGGTCATCTCCTGTAATTCAGCTTAACTAGTCATCTGACAGTATCACATGACTGGTCATCTCCTGTAATTCAGCTTAACTAGTCATCTGACAGTATCACATGACTGGTCATCTCCTGTAATTTTAATTTGTCTACTTGACTACGCTATGCTCTGTTTCTGCCATCTTCTGCTTGACCATACGACGTAAACTTGCGTCATCACAAATATCCATAATTATATGGTTATAATTTTGAATATTTCTACCAGTTATACTACACTGTTGGTCTATGTGCATTAATTTGTGTAAAAAAGGTTCCAATTTAACTAAAGCTTTTGTTAATATTTTATAGTCAGTATTTAAGAGAATGGGCCTGTAACTTTCTTAAAGTAGGGTCTGTATTAGACTTGTGTATTAAAGTTATATAAGATTTATTAAAATTATCATGACAGTTTTCCAGGGTATGCATTTCTTTGAAAGTCTCCAATAATGTTTTAGATTTCTAATTTTGAAGAAGGAAAACTGTATCATCTGCGTATTCTAAAAATTCTCCTATTTGACATGTTTGGTTTATTAATTCCTTTTACTTCATTGTTGCCTCTGATGTACTCCAAAATTGGTTCTAGAGCCAATATGTACAATATTGGGGTTGGAGGGCAACCTTGTCTCACAGATTTCTCAATGTTAAAGGCTCTTGTAATATAATGGTTAATAATTATGTGACTATGAGCATTATAATACATTATTCCAATCCAGGTGTTTAGATATTTTCCTAGATTACAGGTTTTAAAACCTTATATAAATAGTCATGATAAATTATATCAAAGGCTTTTTCCTGGTCTATACTTAGTATGCATGCTTGTCTTTTTCAAATTTGTACTGTATGATATCCCTAATTAGATGGTTATGTTTTATATGTTTCTACTACATTGTAGGTCTACATGTATTAATTTATGTAAAAAGGGTTCTATTTTTATAACTAAAGCTTGTTAATATCTTATCAGTATTTAAAAGGGATATGGGCCTGTAACTCTTTGTTAAATTGGGGTCTGTATTAGACTATAAAGTTATATAAGACTTATTACAATTTTTTCATGACAGTTTTCCAAGGTATTCATTTCTAAGTCTTTACTGTATCCATTTGTATTCCTTTGAATATAACGGTGAATGTTTTAGTGTCTTCGGTAATCGTGGGATTAGACGTCCGCCCATACTATAATATATGAACTGTTGTTGCTAGGTCGGATAGCCTTTCATTAAGAGCTTAATAAACATATTGAAAATTGTAGAACGCAACACCAGATATTGTGATGAGGGTTCTAATATTCCTTTTAACACCGGGCATCTCCGAAAGGCAAATGATTAAACAAGCAAGAGCAGTCTTTTTTATACAAAATGGCGCGGAAAAAACATTGTCACAAAGCAGATTGGCTAAAGATATCAAATGACCTCTCCCTAAAATATTCAACTAAGAAAATAATGCATATTTTTTTTCTCCTTAGGCTTAAATTTAACATCATGCAGCTCTTTAAAAAAAACTGACAATAGTGAAACTAATGGCTGTTGACTTACACCTTAAATAAGGTGGAAACCTGCTCCAACCTTCTCGTTTATTTTTTATCCATCCGTATAAATAGCTTGGCTTTTGTTTTCTTTTCTACCAGGGTTGTACTTTTAATAAGGGCCATCACTGGAACTTCTTTTTTGTTGTCATGTAGATCAGTACTTGTTGTTGGGAGTGTTAATTCCCAGGTGCTGCCATTGCATCCAGCAGTTCTATTGAGGGCCTGATTGTGTATTGTGTCTGGGTTTTTTTTTTTTTTTTTTTTTTTTTTTTTTTTGCGTTATTTGAGGCCGAGTCATAGACTATGCTGGCGTAGTCAATTTTGCCCCTTACAAAAGATTTGTAGAAAGTTACCAGGCACTCAGTCCTGGCACCCCAGCTCTGACCTTTTAGGAACCTCATCATGTTTAGCATGCTTCTGCAGCTCTGTGAGATGGTTTCTATATGTTTATTCCAGGTCAGCATGGGGTCTAGAGTGATACTGAGGAATCTTGTGATATTGACTATTCTATAAATTTCGGTATTATTAATTTTTAATGAGACATGTTTGGTAATCGTGCTTGATTTTTTGTGACTTTAGATCATTTCTACCGTTTTGGAGGCATTTATTTGTAAACCCCATTCGTTCATCCAATCCTTCATTTTGTCAAGCTGAGCCTGCCACTCCCTGTTAATTTTGGCAATTGACTTGCCTGACCGCCAGGTCGAGGAGTCGTCAGCGTATTGGGACAGGGAGTTCCTCACGTCTGTGAATTCGCTACCTAAGACATTCACCATGGTGGAGAAGAGTGTGGGGGCAATGACTGACCCCTGGGGTTTTCAGTTTTCCAGCTTGTATCGGTTCGAGTATCGGTCATTTATCCTGACCTGCATCACTCTATCTGTGAGGAAATCTGAGGTAATTTAGTAGGGGGCCTCCTATCCCTAATTCTTTTTATTTTGTAAATTATTGGCCATATTCAGCAGGTGTCATAGGCTTTGGCCATGTTGAGGAATATGGCTATTGTATGCTCTTTTTTTTTTTTTTTTTTTTGGCAACTTCCGACGTCACTTTCTAGTCGAAGTATCTGATCTACAGTACATCTGTTCTTTCTAAAGCCTGATTTTGGCTCAGTAGACTATTTCATTCAAGAAAGACATTTAATCTGTTGTTGAGTCTTTTCAGTTCCTTTTATTTTGTTTATTATGTGGAGGACTATTACTGTGAGTTGGTTTCCTTTTGTTGTTCTTCTTTTTTATTTCGGGAGTGGCTGGGTTGGATTCTGTCATGTTATTTTTTGAGCTTCCTCTTTTTTTTTCTTCAACTGGAGTCCAGTCCACCTTTTTTCCGAATCGGGAATAAATTCATCTTCTGTAAAGAGTTCCTCTTCTTCTTCACTGTCATCATCTTCGCCATCGGATGTGACTGGCGCTGTCACTCTCATACTTTTTTTCCTCTACTTCTTTTGCCACCTTTCTCCACTTCCCTCTCCTCATACTCCCCTCTCTCATTTAAAAAGATATTATCCCTTGTCCTTATCAGTGGGCTCCTACAGGCATGGGGGAGGTGTTTGCTTGTTTAATAGGTCAAACCACTCATTGGGTTTGCCCAGATTTTTTTTTTTTTAGAATGTTGAGACTTCTTTTAAATCTCTGCAGAAAATATTTTCTATATCCTCATTAATTTACATCTTGAAAGCACATAAGCATGCTAAAACAAATCACAAAGCATACAACTTTGTATTAACAGCTTTGTTTTCAATGCATTCTTCTCTATCTATAACCTTGCCTTGTTTATATTGTAACAGGAAGCCATGCTTATTTAAGTTAAAACCAAAACACATTTCTTTTTGAGAGAAAATACATGAGATAAACAAAATTCTAAATACATAACATTAAGAATATATTAACTTAATAAATTAAATAAAAAATCTTATCCTTTGCCCTCAACAAAGGGCTTCTACATCCATGGGGATGTGTTTACACATCAGACAGACAATGCGTCTGCCGTTTAACTGCATCAGTAGTGTGTGACTCTCCTCCTATTTCCACCTCCAGGAAATGAGGTATTTCCTCTATTGCTGCGGCCTGTGAAAATCAACCGCCCACCTGTCCCCTTTTCCTACCGGCAGGATAGTCAGCCCTTCCTCCGGCTTTGCTATTTCTTTCAAAGTAGATAAGTTTCGCCGCCGATTTCAACTTCTAAGTAATGAGGGAGGTCTTCTAAACGGGCGTTTGGGTAGAAGTCAATAGCCCACTTGTCTCCTTTCCCCATCTTGAGGGTTGTAATGTGTCTACTTCGGCCATCGTTTTCACAATTTGGCATTCTCGTTTCCTTGTATGCCGACATGGGAGGGAATCCAGATCATCTGTACCGATCGTCCACTTTGTTTTATCTCGGTGCATTTGTGTAGAATCTCTTCTACGATGTCGTCTCTGCAGCATTCTCCCCCTTTTATGGCCTGCAATGCTGATAGGGCGTTGGTTATGATGCTGATACTTGTAAGGGCCATAAGGATGGCCGTTAGTTCGGCTGTGAAGATGGAGGCGCCGTCGGTTATTCTAAGTCTTTTGGAGTAGTTGAGTTGGGATGTGGAACCCTGCTCCAACCTTCTCATTTGCTTTTGAGCCGTCCGTATAGATGGCTAGGTTATTTTCTGTTAACCTTTCTATCATCTTTGTAGCCTCAATACAGGCCATCACCGGGTCCTCTTTTTTATTGATCTGCTCGTGCAGTGTTTCTGCTGCTGTCTTTAGCTCGATACTGTCTGTTAGCTACCTTCTTTCTGCTGACGGTGTTCCATTCTTCCTGTTGTCGTTCCTCTTGGTCACCTGCTTCCCACCGGGTCGTAGTTTCGTCGTCTGTTGATGTCATCTCATCTGCCTCGCGGTCCACTATATACTGTCCTTCCCTGTCCAGGTGTATATTGTCCCGTTCTCTAATATGCTGATTTCTACATGCAAGTGGCCCGTGTCTGGTAGTCTTGCACAGAGGGCACACCGTCCTCCGTCCCTCGAGCTGGAGCAATAATGTGTGCTTCTCCTCTCCTGCTTCTATTTCGATGTAGTGGGGCAGCTCCTCTGTAGGTGCCATAGGGCAGAAGTCCACGGCCCACTTGTCACTTTTCCCAATTTGGACTGCTGTCTTAGGTTCATTGGGGATGGCGATGTTTTCTAGAATGGTGTTTACGGTTTCTTTCGTAAAAGTCGGGGGTACCCATTTCAGTACTCCTCTCTGTCCGTTTCTCTCTACATCGAGCAGCAGTATGCTCGAGCAGATGCTGCTGTTCTTAGCAATCTCCCTCATGTGGAGGCTTTTAAACAGTTCCTCCGACAGAATGGTGACAAACCATTCATTGGGCTTTCCGAGATTGTACAGTTTTTGGATCTGTCGTTGCGGGATCCCTAATTCTTGCATCATAATGTCTTCTAATATAATTTCATCAAACTTGGATGTTTTCTTTCCTTTGATTAGTCTAATAGTATTTTTAAGTGGGTACCGATTGGTCCTCCATTCAAAATAATACGTTTAACTAGCGGGGTTTCTGTACTCACATTGACTTGGATGTTTACCTTCGCTTTTTTTAAATGCTTTTATTTTCAATAAAACAATTGACAAAATATTCAACCATCACAGGAGTTACATTCATAATATTAGATTTCATTTTAGATGATTCATATATGAAGAAAATGATGTCTGACACAAATAAACCAAGAAAAAAAAACAAAACACAGATACTGTTTCATTCTGACAGAACATCTGTGTATCGGTGGGGTTGTTGATGCGTGACATTGCTGCTAAAAGGGGGGGGGGTAACTTTCCCAGTCTCATATGGAGAGAATAATATAGTATAGTGTGCTCTGAGTTTTCTTTTTGTTTGTATTTTTTTTTCCTTTCGATCATTTCTTTTTTTGAAACAATTGTTGTCCATGTTTGGTCTGTTTCGATGTTTTCTCTGGGATCACTGGGGTCTGGCTCGCTGTCTGGGTTGCTGTCTGAGTCGTCGTCGTCGTCGTCTGAAGTTCTTGTAGATTCAATGACAAGGTGATGGTTGCCATCTTCGTCCACTTGTATGCTGTCACGATTTCGTACAAATGGGCTTTTGCAAGCCAAGGGTCCGTGTAGAGTAGTGTTGCACAGTCTGCAGACTGTTTTCCTTCCATTCAATTGAAGAAGTAATTGGTGGGTTTCCCCACCAATTTCCACATCCAGGTAGTGGGGGAGATCTTCTAGTGGAGCGTTGGGGAGGAAATCTATGGCCCACTTGTCACCTTTCCCCATTCGGAGTGTTGTGACATTTGTTTCCGCTTCAGCCAATGTTTTCACTATCTGATTGATTGTGCTTTCATTGATTGTGGGGGGCACCCATTTAATATGGCCCCTTTGTCCGTTCTTTTCGGCGTGGAGTAAGATTAGGCTTTTACAGTAGTCAGAATGTTCGAGGAGCTCGTACATATGCAAAGAATTGTAGAGCTCCTCGGACTTGAGGGTTATATACCACTCCGTGGGCTTCCCTAAGTTATGAACGTTTACAAACATGCTTCTGCTGATGTTTAACTCATATGAAATCAAATCTTCCAGTATTATTTCATCAATTTTGCGTTCAGTCTTCCCTCTTAAAATTGCCTTGAGGGTATTTTTTGGGTGCCGGCCAGGAGCGACCCCAGGAATTGATATTTTCTTTATGAGGTTCTCTCTTATCAATTGTGGATTACTCACGTTTTTGCTCTGGTTTGATTGTACATCGGATTGTCTTTCTTTTGTTTTGTCGGCCATCTGCCATGCAGATTGAATGATTTTTTCCACTTCTGGAGAATGATACGAACTGGTTTTTTTTTTTTTTTTAAATATAATACTTTTATTTTCCAATTTAAAACAAATACAAATACAATAACATTCCACGCCGTTTGAGTGAATATTTACAATATAGCTACATTTGTGAAAAAAGTACAGGTAATAAATAGCAAATTATGTAGAAGAAATACAAAAGGTAATTTGAATTGAAAGGCAATGGCTTAAACAATGAAAAAAAGGCTGGTTTGTTGCCTGTTTACCAACAGAAAGATTGATCCGTGGTGGGAACATAAAAAAATAATGCAATTTAAATTGCTAGCTGCTGTTCTCCATGTAGGGATTGCCGTGAAGGGCCATTTGAATACATATTACAATTACAAAACTTTCGGAAAATGGGAGACCAAGGTGTCAAAATATTCATAAGAGTTACATGGATAAACAGAAATTTAAAAAAAACATTCCAAAAACATTCCACACCGTTTGGGTGGATATTTACAATATAGCTGCATTGGTGAAAGAGTACAGTGAATAAATAGCAAAATATGTAAATGGAATACCAAAGGTACATTGAATTGAAAGACAATTGCTTCAACAATGAAAAAAAAGGTTGGTTTGTAACTTATTTGCCAACAAAATGATAGATCCGTGGTGGTAACATCAATAAATAAAGCAATTTAATTACTAGCTGCTGTTCGCAATATAGGGCTTGCCGTGAAGGGCAATGTAAATACATAATACAATAACATGGCAACAACAACTCCAAGCTGTCAACATGTGCCTAGAGGTTACATTGATATGCAAATTTAAAGGGAAGGAAACATCGTGGGACGGGGAGGTGTATGTGAGGGGTGAGGGTTGGTTGAGAAAGGCTGCCCAGGCAGCGGGATCATTGATGCGTTACATACCTAATGAGGGTGAGGGGCGGATCTCAATGACAGTATAAAAAAAAAAAAAACGAAGAAGGCCATTAACAAAAAAATTCAATTTAAAGTTCCCTAACAAACACAGTATGCCTAAGAGTTACATGAATAAACTAGAATTAAGGGGAGAACGTTGATGGGGCGGGGAGGTAGAGGCGAAGGTAAAGGTTGGTTGGGTGAAATAGGCCAGGCAGCAAGATCATTGTTGCGTGACATGAATGCTGAGGGTAAGGGGCGGGTCGCGATGGTTGACGGGGCACTGAGTGTGTGAGTTTAAGGCGAGCCAGGCGTAAGAGACTGTGTTGTGTGTGAACTGACTGCTGGGGTGTTACTATTTATAGTTTGTGTGTTGATGTGCTATATTTGTCCAGTCGTCTGCTAAAAATTAAATCTAAAGTCTGTCCCGTAAACTGTGAATTTTCGAATTTAGCTCTGTTTCTACTAGTCCAAATGGTTTGTCTATAAATGGCTACAGTCCTTGCTTTGTCTTCTAAGTCTGTCCTGTCTTTTGGCTTAGGTAGTTTCTTTAGCGTTATGGCTATATCAATATTGTATGTCTTTTTTACTAGTTATTTTGGCCCTAAGGTTGTTTTTCATTATCTGTATAGCAGGGCATTCTAAAAAGATGTGATTCTGTTTCTGTTGTATTTTGTCTGCATAATGGGCAGTAGGCGGTCTGATTTCGGCCTATCGGTCTGATTTCGGCCTATCGGTGTTGTGTTATAAATGTTTTCCTTCGCCATAGACAAAATTCGTTCTACTTGGGGGGATATACTTCATAGCACAAGTTCATCATTTGTTTTTTTTTCTCTTTAACTTTACCAATGTCTTTGTTGGGATGCTTCCCCACAGCACATAATTCAATTTTAGATGCTAACGTTGATTTTGTAGTCACTGTTTTGTTTTCCTGTTATTTGCCTGATCATTTGTTGATGGGAATAAACATGTACAAATAGTTATCCTACTGTGTCTGAATGTTGATTTTGGTTTATATTTTGTGGAATTGTCTCCCCTGCTAAAGCAAAATTCTAAAGGTGTTTTGGAACTTGCAGTATATATATATTTTTTTTAAGTTTTGCTGTTTGTTTTTTATTTAAGAACAATATACATTTTTTTAAAGCTGCCATATCTAAACTGTTAGTGGGCTACATGCAGATACCCCTGTATGTGTGATTATGTCCATTGTCCATAGTTTGAAAAATTAAATATACCCTAGAATTTTTTAACGACAAATTATTATATTCTGGTGACTTTCTCTTTATTTCATGAATTGTATAATCATATTATTGCATTCAAGCATGTTGAGATTTGTATTTATTAAAGACATTAAACCCACACTGAGTTTGCTGTTTATTGTAAAATTGTCGGTTCTTTGTGTACATAGTGCAGGGTTTGTGTGCAGCTGATAGCTCTATATAGAGGAGGGAGGGGATAGTAAAGGTGGCAGATTTCTTTATTTAGAGCAGGGGTTTTCAAACTGTAGCACGTGAGGCCCTCTCATCTTGCTCTTGCGGATCATTTTGTCTTTGGTGGGGGGGGGGGGGGGTACAGAGAGAGATCAGAGGTAGCTGAGGAAATTGGCCCAGACTTAAACAATTTGAAAAAGTAGCTTTGGGTGCATATACCCTTGCCCGCCATGTTGCAGACACTTGTCTGCTTGTGTTCATTATAGGTGTGGATGAAGACATGAACACAAGAGCTGGCTTCCCTACATAGCATGTATAGCACTGTTACTGGAGAAGATACATTCAATAAGTTGAAAAATAAATTGCTGAATTTAACTTGGACTGTACTAACCTCAGTTGCCTGACTGTTGATGAAGGGCATAAAGAAAGACTTGGTTGGATATGTGAAGCTGATGTGTAATGAGAAACTTTCTACAGCCAATGTTTACCAGCAAGCT